GATGCATGCACCATCCTTCTATGCGCTGTACTTTGTGCCTGGCGAAACCGCCGCTCAGCTTCTCAGCCTGCATCATTAAGCACACGCACAGACGACTGGCTCTCCGTTCCCCTGAACACTCGCAGTCCTCTTGTCCTCAGCACAGAGGATGTACTTGCTTCTGTACCGACTCGTCGCTTCTTCGGGGAATAACTTCCATCTCGAGCAAGTACATAGATACTCACAACGTCACAGACATTGGCGATAGGCCCTGTTAATTCCACCGCGGCCATACATGCTGGGTTGGGGAGGCGAGATTGCCGGCCATCTCCTTACTAAATGCTAACTAACTAGCTGGCTAGTCCCCTCTGGATGACTAGCAGGATTTACCGAGGGAAACATCCCGATTTAATTTATCAACTCCCCGTGCAGTTCCAGGTAAAATATACGACTAGAAAGCCCCAACGTAAGCCCTCACCGCAGCGCTGGACCTTCTCCATGACTACGATTTCCTACTATTTCCTACTATTTCCTAACCCTCCTCCTGCTTGCTTTGCACCGACCATCCGAGATCCACCGCCGTCCATCACCGGCCCGGATTCCATCGTCCCCATCGGAAATATCAACCGCACGATTTGCTGCCCCATCATTTGTCCACCCGTCAACCTTCCTTTCGGGGGGGACGTTGGGCCCGGCCGCGGCCTCGCTTGGTAAGTCGTTGGTACTAATGCTGGGCCGTAAACTGGTCTGGTCCACGCCCATCCAGGCTCTCGCAGCCACTCCTCCAGAGTTTGGTACCATATCACAATCCTCGGATAAGCGCCATTGTTCCCTACTACCCAAGGCAGCAGCCCCGTCCTGCTCCTCAAATCTGCCTTCGGGAATGCCTTGCCAATCTTCCCCGTCCCTCGACAGTCGATGTTTTCCGTCCGGTCCACGAGGCTTGACCAACAAACACACCTTTCATGTCATGGGTTACCACAATGATGCTACCACGGATCCACGTCTTGGGTCTAGGCAACACGCAGACGATGTCAATTCACCAGACTAGCAGCCCCTTGCTTTTCGGAAAGGTAACTAGGTGTAGTTTACACCTGCCACGTCCAACCATTCCAGCGTTACTCCGACCTGGGCAACACCCTCGCAGTGAACACGGAGTATACTCGGGATGGTGTGTCAAATGCGATCCAATTGCGGGCTTTGTGGGGATGCCGATCATTGCATGCTCATCCTCCTGGTCCTGGCTCTACTCCGGTGCAACTCCTCAAGCAGGTACGGAGATGCTACCGCTTTAGTCCCATAAGGAGCACCAATCCGCCTTTGTGGCTCGGGATGGGCTCTGGCGTAACTCGTCCTGGCGTTGGAAGTCAATTATTAGACCGTCTGGCTCTGCGCCGACTCGGTCCCTTGAGCACAAGGAGTCCACCGTGCTCGTGCCGAGCACGTCCTAGTTCCTAGGCAGGTGGCGGATGTGCTGGTTGTCGGTCTTCCGGGAACTAAAAGCAGCCTCAAGGGCGTGAAGACCATCGTTATTATTGCGGCAGTGCACAATCTCTCTGGCTAATTCGGTGCTCTCGGTCTTGGGGCAACGACGACCCGGAAGGATTGTGTCAATTCGTCTCTTCTGCCCACTCCGGCTCCACAGGGCTATAATGCTGCGAGCGACTTTCCCGACCATGGACCAATCCCGTGCGCAAACCCGCTGGTGACTTAGATTGTTGTGGTGACCATGCCTTGCACAGGGCACGGCTCTGGGGGTCCCTCTTTTGACCACTTTGTAATCCAATAATCCGGCTTGGTTCAGACTTTTACATTTACCTCTCCAGCAGCGACGTCGCCCGCGTTATGCGCCTCCTGGCCACGCCCAGCTTCTAGCGGCACCACCCTTCCACAAAGGTTACTTCTCGGTGAGTCAGGGGCAGCCAAGGACCTAGATACTGCCTACAGGAGACATACCTACTCCGTACCAGACTTCGGAATCACTTGCGCCGCTTAGTGCGAGATCAATAGAATCGCTTGAAGCATTTCCCGTCACCCAAATTCCACTAGGGCGCACAATCCTCACCTCCCGCACGCAAATCCATGCACATCCATATTTCTGGATGGAGACCATGTATTGCACGGTTGCACAGTCCGCGGCACAATCCCCTTCCAAAGCTTTTATGGCCTAGAACGACGTTCTGGTATGTGACAGAGTGGGGATTACTCAGGAATCACTTCCCTTGCCGGAATTCTGCATACCACACGTCGCTGAATAATAGCAACGGGAGCCTAGCCTAGAGCCCCAGGGGTTTTCTAGATTCTAATAGTATATGGGTTGTCCGGAGTCCTCCGTATAAATTTCCCTTTCAGGCATTATGTCATTCAGAGGATCGCCATCCATATTGTCATGGTCACATCATCCACCGCTACCATGGGAGATTCCAGGCAATGATTTCCTGGTGGGTGTAATTGGCCATCAGGCCGCAGGAAACGCCCGAAACCGTTGGGAGGGGGATGTTCAGGAGGATGTTGGGTGGAAGATGGAAGATGGAAGATGGAAGTCCCGGACTCCCGTGGGTGTGGCGGCCCGGTGGCTAAGGCAGCCATGTCTCGCGTGCGAATTTTCCGGCGGGAAATCTTTCTTGGCTTCCCGCGCCAGCACCGCCAGTCACGCCAGTCAGTCACTCCCTTAGCTTGCTTCTATCTACTATCGGATAATCTGATCCCTGGCTCGCTCCTCCTCGTACATCCTGTTGTTTGCCTCTAGATTCCTATCGGTTCGAGCCACGTCAGGGGACAAAGGCACCGAAAACTCAGGACTGGATTCCCAGCCAGCCACCAGGCTGCACAACAGAAACGACAAACATCAGACGGACTGCCGTTATCAAGTAGAACCAGACGAGTCCTCTGGACAGGTGAACTGCCAACTAAGACGTGCTCTTATCGGGCAGTGGAACCCAGGGCGTCTACATCGGCGATCACTGTCACTATCTAAATCATGCATACGCTCAAAGCCACTGCATCCTCCTCCCTCTCACTGGCCGAGGGCCACTACATCTATTCCATCGCGCCGTCGTCCCCAGGGTCGTTTGCCGCGATTTCATCGGACGACTCTCTCCGTGTGTTTGACGCTAACGAGCTCAGCCATGCGTCCGTCGTTGCCGCGAGCGCCCATGAGGGCGTCACGTCCCTGAAATCGTATGACGCCGGCCAGCAGGTGCTGGCGACGGCAGGAAGGGATGGCAAGGTGAAACTCTGGGATCTGCGCAGTGGCAGGAAGTCGGCGGCTGTGGAGATGGAGACCTGTAAGCCTCTCGTCGCCCTCCTCCTTTCGCTTTGATTGTCCTCTTTTCGCTGCTCGATCCGGTGGGCCTCCTTTGAGGCGTGGCCTCACTTGAGTCCAAAGGTTTTCCCGCCGTCAGGCTTCCCAAAGTTTGTCGTGCATATGCACGACCCATCCGTAAATGGTTGCTCGCTAACCTTGTTCCGGCGACAGCGAAGCAGGCCCCCGTGCTGTCCATCGCATGCTGTCCGGAGACTAATGGAATTGTGGCTGGAACTGAGCTTGTTTCATTCCAGGCGATTGTCGCCTTCTGGTGAGTTGATTCGCGAATCCCCAGAGCCTATGCCTTATCCGGAGGAGCTACCGGGGCTGGACGCTGTACCAGTTTCACGAGCTGCTAACTGACGCAACAGGGACACCAGATCACCCGGTCAAACGTCCCTCCAATACGTTGAGAGCCACAACGATGACGTGACCGAAGTACGTGTTATTCGAGACCCCAAGCCCTCTCCTACTGACAGGTCGTCCGTGGATGTAGCTTCAATATCACCCAGTCCGTCGCAACCTTGTCCTGTCCGGCAGTACAGACGGGCTGGTCAACGTTTACAACACAACCATCGCCGATGAGGACGACGCCCTCGTGCAAGTCATCAACCACGGCTCCGTGCATCACGCAGGGTTCCTTGGCGAGAGGACCATCTACGCCCTCAGTCACGACGAGGACTTTTCCATCCACCCGGCGACCGATCCAGACGAGCCGACGCAGGAGCCCGAGCCTGTTCAGTTTGGCGACCTGAGACAGCCTCTAGGCTGCGAATACATCGCACAGCTGTGCATCGGTAGTCAGGGACCATACATTGCCGCGGGCAATAAACAGTATGTGACTGGTCTCATGCGGGTTGATTCTCATCCGGACTAACCGCTGCAGGGCAAACTGTCTGGATCTGGTTCCACTCGTCTCAACACCGTCTTGGCGATTCGACCAGGACAGTCTGTGGCGCCTGCCGGGCGCCCATGGTGAGGAGGTTGTACGGTCTGTTTATCTCGATGAGCAGGTATGTTATCCTTTAATAGGACCGGTTGGATCCAGCTAACAGTAGTCAGTCCCAGTCTGTGTTCACCTGCGGTGAGGACGGATTAGTTCGTGCCTGGAAGCCCGACAGCGAAACCCAGGGGACAGCTCAGACGGATACGAAGGTTCCGCGGAAGGACAAGAAAAACAAGGAGAAGGGGAGGTACAAGCCTTACTGAGACTCACCATTGAGGACTCTAGAGATTGGGAAACAAAAAGAAAAGGATTGCATATACAGTGTGTTTGGTACTTATCCTTCGGTACTAGAAATAGATCCGGATCAAGTCGACATCGAAGATATATATCTACCCCTTAAACAACTTACCACCGACATGCACCAACTACTTATTCAAGGACGTATACAAATTCAAAACAACAGGAAACAAAAAGTCCCAACCGACCGGATTTAACATGATGTACTCATGACTTCCCAATGAAAATAGACCGAAATGTAAACAAATAGTCTAAGAAACACCAAGCCGATCCAACCCATACATACTTAGTACTACTTAAAACAGGCACGCAACAATTCCAGCACTCGCATAAACAATATACATAGTACTAGTAGTATGAAACCACCACCCCAAAGCAATAACGAAAACCCAACTAACACCAATCTAACGTTAAAAAAAAAAAAAAAAAGAAACGAAAAGAATATAGAGGGGAAAAAAGAAAAAAGAAAAATAGTCGCGCCCGGGATCGAACCGGGAACCTTCTCGGAACCTCCTCACATAGATAAATGAGGAATTCACTTGAAAGAAAGAAATTCATGTGAACGAGAAATCATAACCATTAGACCACGCGACTAGTAGATAAAAAAAGTTTAATTTTTTTGCCGTCATTTGCTACTATCATTGGTGTGGTGTGGTGGTTATCTTATCTGCGAGCGGAGAGAGAAAGAGAGAGTAGTGAGAGGGAAAGTGGATTAGATTTTTTTTCAGCCTCTCTCCCTTGACTTACTTACTCTCCTCACTTACGTTCTTTTTTTTTTGTTTTCTGTCGGTGGTTTGTTCGGTCATCGGGGGATCATTGATCATTGATTATTTGATTTCTCATCGTCTGATCTGGCCTTCTTGATTTGTCGGTCGAGATTGATTGATTATTGAGTTGGGAAAACGAAATAAAATCCCCGTCGCAATAACTTACTCCAACTTCATACCCGGCCATTCACACATCACCACTCACCCACCATCCACCACCCCCCGAACCATCAAAAAAAAAGGGGAAGAAAGAAACAAAATGGACGCCCAAGCCTACCTCCTCCGCCACGGCTGGTCCGGACCCGGCAACCCTCTCAACCCGAACCGTCGACCGGGCACACACGGCGGGCTGGGCCTCACACGACCGATTCTGGTTGCGCGCCGGCAAGGCAACCAAGGTGTGGGAAAGAAGACGACCAAGGATCATACGAATCAGTGGTGGTTGCGCGGGTTCGAGGATGCGTTGAAGGGCGTGGGAGAGGAGAATAAGGCTGGTGGTGCTGGGGAGACGAAACGCGCGCCGAATGCGTTGACGAGTGAGCTGTATCGCTTTTTCGTGAGGGGGGAGACGGTTCCCGGAACTCTTGGGGGGGTTAAGGATAAGAAGGAGGGGGAGGAAGCGGGGAAGAGGAAGAGGGAGGGGGATGAGATGGAGGTTGATGGGAAGCAGGAGAAGAGGAGGAAGGGAGAGGAGAAAGGGAAGAAAGAGAGCAAGGAGGAGAGACGGTTGAGGAGGGAGGAGAAAAAGAAGAGGAAAGAGGAAAGGGCTAAGCGCAAGGAGGAACGCAGGAAGAGGAGGGAGGCGAAGGAGGTGAGGAGGGCGGAGAGGAGGGAGAACAAGGAGAAGAAGAGGTTGCTGAAGGAGAAGAAGAAGAATAAGGAGGAGCGTCGTCCAGAGGAGGAGTATCCTACGCCGCCGGCGACGGAACTCGAGCAGACCGAGTCGAGTGGTCGGGATGAGTCGGTTGTTCAGGAAGTGAAGGCGAAGAAGGAGAGCAAGAGCAAGAGCAAGAAGCGAGAGGCGTCTACATCTGATGACGGGTCAAAGAAGAAGTCGAAAAAGTCCAAGGATGAGAAGAAGTCGGCGGAATAAGGTTGACCGGCCAGAGATGGAGGTGTATAGATAGACTAGACTTATAGATACCCATGGCTTGCTGCTTGGTTCTTGTACATTCTCATGAAAACATGCATTCTTCGTTATGTCTCTTATCGCAAGCTCATCTATTTCGACTCCACTGGCAGCTTTCCAGGCTTCCCCGAGAGAATCCAGGGCCGTCTCTCCCAGAACTCATCCTTGATGATGTCGACATGGTCAACTACCACTTGTGCTTTGTTCCGCAATTTACGGATCTTGTCCTGCTGTGTCCTTGAAGGAGGGGCCTCTTGTAAGGGTGACGTTTCTTCCTGGGCCTGGATGCTCGAGTCTGATTTTGCCTTGACATCCTCCAACTGATACTGATCTTGGTCAGCATGCTCGCGTAGAGACCGAAAGACATACATACCTGGCGGTAGATCACACTGCCCTTCTTGTAAATCTCTTCCTCATTATTGTAGTTGATGCCGAACCTCTTGAAAAGGATCTCATTCTTGTCGGACGATATGGTGCCCTAGTTCCACACTTAGCACCGCATCGGCGCTTCCCTAACGTGGGCAACTCACCTTCAACTCCTGTTCAGCATCCCGATTGTCCATCCCACCTTGCTGGACCATGGTCCAGAAAGTCGTATTGTAAAGGTTATTAATGTGACCTGCAGCCATTAGCAACGCAGCCGAAGAGCCACCAAACGCGAGAGGGAAACCCACAATCAACCTGCCGCCAGCTCATATAATCCCTAAAAATCCGGGAATTCGGATACATGACCGCCCTCCCATCAAACGAAGGCAGACCGGACGGCTGCAGTGGTGTATCAGGGAAATACGTCCCCCAGAGATAGATATAATATGCCGTGAAAGTAGACACAATTGTCGTGACTAGCTTGCTGCGTCCCCAAGAAGGTTAGACCTATGCTATCATAGCGACAGATATTGGAGATACTCACGCACTCCGCCGCTCGAATAATTGGCAGCTGGGGTGGAAAGCGAAACTAAGTCATGTCAGCCTCCCCGCATGAGTCAGTGATGCAACGTCACAAACCTGTACTCATCGCTGACACCGTAGGCAATACACAGATCAGGGAGATCCTTCATGACCGCCACTGCAGCGGCGTTCATCAGGTCTAGGGCCCGACGATCATTGGGCTTGATGAAGCCGTAGTTGGCGGAAAATCTATCTCCCCACGTTAGCGGAATGTATACGAGCCATCTGATGGGTGAGCTGGATACAGCTACCGCATAGCGCTCCCTGGAGGATGCAGCGATACGGTGGAAGACAAAGGAAGGAGCACTGACTTGTGGAAGCCTCTGCCATCGATGCGGACGACAATCCATGTATTGGGGAGCAACACGTCCGGCTGCTCGAATGACTTGACGTATTCGTATCTGGGAAGTGTTAGCTGTGGCTTAAGATAATTTTGCTAGAAGGGGAGAGTACTTTGAGTTCGCCATGTTACTTTAATCTCGCAGGTGTAGATACTGACTGCCAGTGACAGTTGCGCAGGTGAGCCGTCGGGCACAGAGGATGAATATTCTGGTGGGGATGAGGGACGAACCGAACCGAGTCACAGTCACAGTCACGGCAACCCTTCCGCAGTCAAGGTCCAACTGCATGACTGGTCCAAATCAAGGGACAGTTTACTCTGTATACGCTATGGAATTTACTCGTAGCCCATCGCCAGGTTATTAATACGGCCAAGATCAGAGCGGAATATAGAGAGTACGTGTAGGAAAGGCTGGATGCCAGAACAATGACTTCTATCGTCACTACCTAGGAAATTGTAGAGAATGCCCAAGCCACAAGTACCACCTGATGACTGCTGAATATAAAGAAATGTGAAAGAATGAATGGATGCTAGGATGCATGAACTTCCTCCGCCGCTTCCTCGTCCTCCGCCTCGCTGACCAGCTCACTGGGGTGTTCACTCGTCTCGCTGGCCGCCCGGTCCGACTTTCTGGACATGCGGCTGAAGAAGCCCAGGCTGCTTCGAGTCGATCGGTCGGCCGACGGGGCGCTGGACACAGTGCTGTCCACACTCTTGGCGAGCAGCGCCTCGCTATGTGCGTCCTCGTCGATATCGCCTTGTGAAGGGTCTCCCTTCTTGGAGAACAAACCTGACCGATCCTTCCAGGAACTGAACTTGCTGGAGCTGCCCTTTCGCGTGATTTTGCGGATGAACGACTCTTTCGAGCTTCCGTTATCCAGTGAACCCGCAGAGGGCATGCGCTCCAAAGACTCATACGAGTCGCCCGTGTACAAGGACAGAGACCGAGAATCCCGGGAGGTCCGCGATTCGGATGGAGAGCCTTCTTCCATGTGGAAATCAAATGGCGCGTCGAGCTCTCTGTCCGCTGACATCTCCTTCTCTTTACTCCCGCCCGATCGTTTCCCAAAGATAGTCCGGAAGGTAGGCGCTGCAGGGTTCAACTTCGGAGTGACCGGCCGGTGCGATGATGATGGCCGCGTACCGATAGGTGCTTGCAATGGCCGACCCTGCCGCTCGAATGAATCCTGAAGGAAGTCGGGCTCTCCGGTGAGACTCAGAGGCAAGTGACCAGAGGAGCCGTACTGCGTAGATGTCCGGCGCGACTGCACTCTTGACCACGTCGATGGCGAGGCCCAGTCAAACCCCAGGGGACTCCGGTGGCCTTGCTTTTCAGCCGACGGCCAACCGAAGTGGCGATTGTCCGTGGACGGATGGGGTAGTTGGTTCTCGAAGGAAAAGGTTGATGAGGGCCGTGGGGACAGCGAATCCCGACGAACTGTACCCAAGATGGAGGAGGGGTCGATAGGATCATGCCGAGGGCTGAACTGGTTGTATCCAGTGCTAAGATCGGAGTTCTCACCAGACTTGAGCAAACTGCCTCCACCGCCAAAACCAAATCGGCTGGGCGAGAAGATGCTGGAAAATGCTGCTCGACGAGAGGGAAGATGGTCGGAGGAGCTATCCGTGGTAACGCCTGTTGTGTTGCTTCTGGGGAACAAGGACATGGGGTTTGCCCAGTTGCCTGTATAGCTCAGCCGACGACGCCTAGCCCCGATGGGATCCATCTCATCCAGATTGCGGGGGAACGACTGACTTTGGCCTGATTTCAGACTACCCAGGAGAGGTGGCTCGTCGGCCAGCGTTTTACCGCGAGGACGATGGAAGCTAAAGAGCCCAGAAAGCCGGCGCGAGGCACTCTTCGGCGCCTCGCCCACCTCTAGGTTCACCGGCTGAGACTCCACGTCTTTCGTATGCGTCTGATTCTCCGGGCTGGCGAAAAGGCTTTCCGGCCGGCTGCCCGTAGAATCTGGCGAGGGCGGTCCATGGGGGAACTCGAGCGGGGTGCCTGACTGCTCAATGTTGGAGAAACGAGAACGGATGACCGGGCGGGGAAGTTCGGGCGACTCCTCATCTCCAAGAAGGTCGGAGGGGAGTAACGCATCCGCACGAGGGCTCATCTGCGGGTTTCCAAGAGACAAATCCGAGTATCCCCTTGTGGTGTCCGACTGGCCCGACAAGCTCGGGAGGGTCATTCCATTGGTGATATTGAAGAAGGCGGATGTCGGGCCGAAGGTGGGGGAGCTAGTGGCAGGAGGATTGTAGGTAATGCCACCGGAGAATGATGGCTCCATGGCCGTGAAGTTCATGGGAGAGGAGACATTGCTGGCGAGTGAGCTGCGGTGTCGACGGGGGCGGATAGTCGCCGTGTTGGAGAGGTCCAGATCGAGAGCCGGGAGAGAGAACGGTC